AAAGTTAAATGTTTGAAGTCCATCACTATGCCTGGATTAAAGGTGTTTCCACCTGAAAGTGTTGTTTAAATCTGTCATTTCACAAATCCTTCATTTTGGAAGCTGGTGGCAACAAACTGGCAGGAAATATGAGACTTAGGAAAAGCAAAGACATCTATTTGCTAATGGTCACTACAAAATGCATTGGTAACCACGGCAAGCTTATTATGAGGGGAACAGTTAGCTGAAGTGTAAAGGCCGGGCACTTAAGACCCTACTCCTTCCTTGGAGATCAGCTATTGGCTGCTGCATGAGGATGGATTTGTCCGCACTATGCAGTTTGGTGGGGGGGCCTGCCTGCCTGATGTCTGATTACTTATTAACTCCTCGGTGCCCGTGAGTAGGAGAAGGTGCTTGCATTGCAGAAGCTCGTGCGCATCCCGTGTCCCCTTGTCTCCTGCCGGGGCTCAGGCATTCGCTCTTTGAACATCCGCACTTCTCAGCAAGGCCAAGATGTCCAGAACATGCCTTTCGCCGTGGAAACCCAGCTAACCAACCCATCAATAGTTCTTTCCTGTTCAGAATTTTAGACATAATCGAAACTTTGGAACCTAAGAAGCTTTGTAAACAGAATATAACCGTAAATAGATTTGCTTCTGACTTCCAAGGGAAAATGCCTGTCAGCTCTCATAACTCCAGATGCCTTGACCAGTGGGGCAAAGCTGACAGTGATAACGGAACCTGTGAGAATAACACGAAATTCAGGCCTTTGGGGTTCCACTGTTGTTTTTCTCAGTTAAATATACATGTGCTAGGGCATGTGTAATAAACATGCTCAGTTTAAAGAGGAACCATCCAAAGAGCATCCTGTTTCTGCCATAGTTGGGGAACAGCTCCTCTGAAGCCCCAGGGAGCTCCACCTGTTCCCGTCCCCTCAGACCACGGGGGAACCACGATCCTCAACTTCCTGTTAATCACTCCCTCTCTTTTCTTTATGGTTTCACCCATATATGATTCATACCATATCCATTCATACCAGTATACGAATAGTGCTTAATTTCATATGTTTTAGGACTTTATATAAATGGAAATATCCTTTGTATATTCTTTTAGGAATCTCCCTTTCTGCTCAACCTGTCTTGGGATTCATCCACGTTGCCATGGAAGGCGTAGTTCATTCATTGTCACAGTTTTCTCCTGCTGATAAACATTAGTGTTCTTTCAAGGTTTTTTTAATGAATAATGCGTCCGTGAAAATTCTCGTCTATGCCACCTGTGATTTTGTTGCCACTGACATTTATCGAGCATGTATCTCCTGTCAGGCGCTCTTCTAAGCACTTGAGAGGCACTAATTCCTTTCAACCTCCCACACCCTGCGAGGTAGGCGCAGTTATTATCCCATTTCATGGGTGAGCAAATTTGGCCCAAAGAGGTTCAGTGACTTTTCTAAGGTGACAGCCTAAGAAGTGACAGTGCTGGACATTGAACCAAGTGTCTTAGCTTTGGGGTCCATATGTCCAGTCAGGACACCACAATGATCCTTCTTCTGCTAATCGATCACTCAGACAATTTGAAAAATTCTAAGGCTTATTTTCATTTGTCCATATGTCCTTCTGTTAGTCAAATATCCCAAGTTCTTTTAAAAGCACAAAGCCAACAGATTTAATACAGATCCAATATCCTATGCTTCCTTTCGGGCATTGGGATGAAAATTCCCATTGTTTTTTCCCCCCCTCACATCAAATATTCTGAAGTATCTGCATTTCAAGTCAATTTCAGGTTGGGGAAGTGGGCACTTCACGAGAAGAAAGAATCCTATGTAAACTCTCTTAACTCTATGAGACATTTAAGAGCAGTGGCTAATTCCTGTGTCCCACAGAAGTCAGTTCCAGGGGCAGGCAAATGGCGGTGGCCTTCATCCCCAACAGTGTTCATCCTCTCAGCGGGCTGGGCATGAAAACATAAGTGTGAGCCATATGTCCATCTTCTGAATTGATGGGGGGCCTGCAAGGACCCCTGGATCCAGAGAAGGACAGACTGAGAAATCGAAGGAAATCTGTTGAGGAAGTAAGGGAGCGAATACCTCATGCACTTTCAAGCTTAGCAAAGTGCCAGAGGCAGAGTTTTAGGGAAACACATGAACAGACAGCCTTTCCCGAGGACAGAAGGAGCCTCCGACAACCGGCATGAACAGAACACGACACACCAACCCTCACCCTCCTGAAGGAGCCTTGGTTGCAGCAGTGTTTTCAGAACCTTAACCCAGCATCCCTTTCAGAAAGGAAAACCAGCTGGAAAACTTGTTACAGATGGAAACTACTCACGTACCAAAGAAACGTGGCAGCCGCCACAGGCAGAGGAGTCGGCAGGAAGGTGAGTGATGGACACGAAGGTTTATGCAGGATGTGCAGTGACCGCCAAGGCTGCCTTCACACACCCGTCGCTGAAGATCCCAGAGACTTCAAGAGGGGAGCTCACAGCAGGGAAGCCCAGGGGCGTCCCACCTCTCAAAGGAAGATAGACGACCACCAACAGCCCCCCAGCCTCTCTGCAGAGGCAGTGATTTTCAGGAAGCAACATTTGGGAGGGGTTCAATTATCTTTAAAGAACACACAGCACTTGGCTCTTAAAAACTCCAACTCTAGGTTGCTTTTGATGTAACGTTTATCAGTGTCGGTACCATTGACATTTCGGGCCATAACTCTTTGTTATGGGTGCTACCCTGCTCATCTCGGGACAGTTAACAGCTTTCCTGGCCTCTCCCCACTGGACGCCAGCCACCCCCTCCCAGGGTTGTGACAATCAAAAATGTCTGCAGACATTGCCAAATGTCCCCCCGGGGGTGTCAAGTTCACCCTCAGCTAAGAATCATTTCTCTGCCCTAATATGTTTGTGTGGTTAAACCTGGGTGGGAGTCTTTCAGGTCATTTCCATTTTTCCCTTTATTTTTAGTTACTCTACAACGAATATGTGTACATTTATCTTCTATAGTGAAAAATGAAGCTACTATCATGTACACAACTATAGCACTATTCATTAAACAATTATAGGCACACGCTTTTGAGCAAAGTCTGAAAAAATTGTGGATAGAAGATTTATGGAAGGTATGATATGGGAATCACAAAGGAAATAGAGAAAAACAGTTCTTCGAAGACGATTTAGCAAAAATTCATCTCAAGATGTGGGAATGGTAAAGTGTGGCCCAGAAAGAGCTTGACTGGTGACCGGGGGCAGTGACCCGTGCGGATGGAGCCCTGTTTGGTGTTCTCATTAGATTCCGCAGGCTGAGCAGACCTGTGCTCCGGGCTGCATAAGCAGTTCTTCTCCGCACTGATTGCCTTTGAGTTGAGCTGGGCCCAGGGCACCAGACCTCGCCTATGTTGTAGGCTCAGGGAGAAGGGTCCCTCTTCACATACTTCCTTCCATCGCAAGGTGTGGCACTAGGTTTCACTCACTTTGTGTGTAGGGGGTTATTTTCATTCACCCAGTTGTTTAGAATTTATGGGGTGTGGAAATAGAGCCACTAATAGATGTTTTCAGGAGGAAAACCTACCTCCTGTGGAAGAGGTGTGTAAAATCCTAGAACTGACGAACAGCCAGGGAGAGGATGACGGTGCCTGTCAAAGGTTCTGATACCTCCGCTGCTCAGCTCCACGTGGACCGCAGCCCTGGGGATGGGGTTGGAGGGGGTCCCAGAGCACGACTCTTAGAGCTGCGGATGCCCTGGCCACAGAGGTGGCAGGAGGCACAGCGGCTGTCACCCCTACAGATACACTGCAGCACCTCAGAACGTGCTCTCGTTCCCCACAAGAGATACCCACCGTACGCTCACGTTTGGTTATGTGTGAGTGTGTATGTATATATGTTGCGAAGTAGAGAAGCGACAACATTTAAAAAATGCTCAATCCCTCTGACATGCTTGGAATGACAAGAGATGTGAAAGCAACTCAGAAATAGATTCCCTTTTATGAACCCACTGACGGGTTTCAATCAGAAGGCATGAAGTAGGAAGCAAATTACTATTGTACTTTTAGGTGAGAAAAACAAAGGCAGGCAAACTCTGCCTTTGAAGCAAAATACTCATCTGTCTAAAAGGCTTCTCCTTCTGGGGCTAGGCACGCACTCTGCAGTGAATGGTGCCAACACTCACTCCGCACTCGCTGTGTGCCGGGCTCCGCTCTGAGTGCCTTCTGTATTCCAGCTCTTCATCCTCAGAACCACCCTGGGGACAGTCCCCCTCTCCTGGGGGAGGACACTGTGGGACACAGCAGGTGCTCAGTAAATATTCTGTGAATGGAATGAATAAGCCAAACTACCACCAGTCACTTTATTTTGTCTTTGCTCTTAGTAACAACTCATTCTTTCCCCTCCGAATTTCTTTCACAGTCAGTATTACACATTTGTTCTTCAAAACTGGCAGAGTCATTTCTACAAAGACTCAGAAGAACAGAACACTCTGGTTAATAGAATTATGCTCTAAATTAAACCATTAGATCAGAAACTGTTTGGATTTGTGGACAATCTCAAAAGACCATGACTCCAGAATCCATCTCTCTTACCAGGGATGTCTGCCTGTGCCAAAAACACAAACAAGGAGATACGGATGACATCTGTTTTCCTGAAAGAGCATCAATGGCTTATGAGTTCATGATGAAAACAAACACACATGAAGGTAAATCATAGGAAATTGCTGTTTCTGCAGGTCAAGAACATCAAATAGTAACAATTTTATATGGTTCAACTTAATAGATTCTGTCATATTTTAATGCAGTGTGATGGTACAATTTCATTTTTTAAGTGAACGGTGAAGGAGAGAACAGTTACCGGAATTTAACTCGATGGTGTTGTCTTACGGTGCACTTCAGTTCCCACAGTAAATTATGTCACATTTTTAATACGCTCTCCCTTACATATTAATTTAACTTATTTCTATTGTAAGTCCTTGTTTATCTATTAATTTTAAGATTATGTGGATAAGGGATATTCATTCACACATATTCCAAGGAGTCTTTGAGGCATCGCCCACTCAAATAGAGTATTTAATGTTAGTAACAGGTTTCATGCTGCTAAACATGTTCTACTTTATAGACGATGTAAATATCTTTTTAAAAAACACATTTCCAGAAATAAATGTAATATTTCATTATAAAATGTGACGCTTTCTTTCAGGTTAGTCCCCTACTAAGCTATTGAGAGGACACTTTCTGACAACAAAATATTAATAACAATTTATGTTTACACTCCAGAACTTCTCATAAAGTCTTAATATGGCCACTTCAAGTAGCCCAAAGTGTGTGATATCAAGAAAACCTGTGCCCAACATGCTCCCTCTGCCCGTGACTGCCAGGATTAGCTAGTGAGCCAGGGTCCCTAAGTGTAACCAAGTTACCACCATTTGGTAGTATTTGTATGTTTTAAGTATCTCATCTTTCTGGCAATAAACCAAATTCTAAAAATTATAAAAGGAACGGTCCTCATGAAATGTTTTACAGTATGGTACACTATACCCTGGGTAAACATGCAGAAATTGTATCTTCTCCAGAAGTGTGCTTGTCAGGAAATGATAAACAGAGAGGCCATAGGACACCCACCTGAATAAATTCTGCATCCAACCTGGCAAACATTTTTGGATACTAGCTGGGTACAAAGCGATGGGTCCGCCCTGCACGCTAGGTCCCCCGTTGCTCTAAGAGACCCACATGCATGAACCAACCACCCACAGGAAGCAGAACAACAGCAGGGCTGGAGCCTAGAGAGAAGAAGGAGTTCTCACTGACACAGAAGAATCGGATTCATGTCTGCCATCCCAGGCCTTTGTGGTCCCGGCACTCCTGTGCTCACTCAGGAGCCTCGTAACAGGGATCTGCAGGGGGAAGCTGGGCGTGAGTCCTCCACGTGCACGCACAACCCCCACTCCTCCATGAACTGCGTGAGATAGGCCTCACTTTCCTTTGGTGGCCCGTCTGGAGCCTGGTCTGCATAGAGTCTGGACAAAAGGCCGTCCTCCAGGAGCTCCCCGTGCTCAGGGCGCTCACGTCCCTCTGGGTCGTGTTCAAAGCTGGGTATTGAAGGTATACATAGCCTGCCGGTCCGAGGGTCCCAGTCGGCCAGTGTGGTGGCCGGCTGTTCCTCTGGCCCCTGTTCCCTGTCCACGTGCTCCTGTGGCAGGTGGTCCAAGTCTCTGAGCTGAGGGGCGTATGAATACAGCAGTGTTTGTGGGCCTGCGTCTGCTGAAGCTGCCTGTCGCTCAAATAATTGTCCTCGTCGGGGCCCCTCCTCCTGCAAATTGAGCTCCTGGTCTGCAGGTCCCACACAGATGTCAGCAGGTCTTAGGCTGTATTCATATTCAGCGACTGCAGGATCTGTGGCTGTTGTTCTGCCGAGTGGCTCTTGCTGGGGTAGGGAAGTACCCCTGGCGGTTTCCTCAGAGTCAAAGAGAACGCCCATCAAGTGGGAAGAGTACCCCAGGTGTTTCACCTCCACTTCCTCCTGCTGGGGCTCCCAGTCCTCGCTGGGCTCTCTCAGGGCCGATGCATCATTGCTTTTTTCCATTACACGTACATCCTTAAGAGAAATTTTAGCATCCTCCAAAACACTGAGGGTGATAAAGTTAATCACGATTTTTTTCAGCAGGCACAAAGAATCTTTTGTCAAATTCATTTCCATAAATCAAAATCTATAAAGAGAGAAGAGAAGAGCTTTTACCTTTTCACTTTAGAGAGACAGTAAAAACAGCTGTTAAGTAGAATTTATACTGTCATCAGCTAGTTTTAAAGACCTATTCTTACCCACTCATGGAAGGGAAAGTGATGTTCGGAATATACAGAAAACTTGCACATGCAGGCCAGGGACCCAGACACGCAAGACGCAAACGGCAGTAAAAAGCGGCTCCCGCGGGGGCATTTATTGTCCAGGGACCCGGCTCTGACTGCCCTCCTCTAGCTGGCTGAGGGAATTCAGGGGAGTTATCTAATTTCTCAAGCCTCGGTTTTTAATTCTGTAAAATCAGAATTTCTGCCACAAGAGGAGTGGCAAGGACTGAGCATGAGAGAGTTTTTAAATTGCCTTGTTGATTATAGTTTACTCCGTCCTCGTTAATAAGCTGTGGTCATCTGGGCTACCAGCCCTTTCTGGCTGTTCTCTGGACATGAATGAGGATGGGCATGAAAGCTGATGTAGAAAGGGAGAGAACAGGAGGGTGTGAGTACTCACACCCCTACACCCCATTCTATGACGCGATAATAAGGCCTAAAAAGGAAAGCCACCTGCCAATTTGTGGCAGATAGAGAAACTCTAAACCATGTTGGGAAAACTCATTAGAGACTAAATTTGCTGGGGACACGTGGAAGGTGCCCGTGTAGGCTGCCAGTGACGAGGTGGATTACAATTCTCATTGTCCGCCCTGAGCCGTGAGTTCATTTAGCATCGCAAAATATGCAAAGCAGCCTCATTCTTCTACAAAAGTTTTGGTTTCAAAAAGTCACATGCGGTCAATTCCCTTGTGAATTTTCCTCCCAGGAGCGGTCTCCATATGCCATCAGAAAACTAACTCTGAAACCTACAGGCAGGCAGAATAAGAGAAACGTTTTAAAGTCAAACTAACAGGAATACGTGTGCATGGTGTACATAAGGACATATGTTTCAATAATTCCCAAAGAAATCATTTTTATTGTTAAAATAGGTTCAGCCCTTTGGAAGCCTCAGCACGTGGTCCAGAGCGTGAGGTTTGTTCCTCCGTCTACTTTCTTGCCTTTCCCTGCTGTGGATGGTTAAGTCCTGGCCATTCTCTTCCTACATGTGTCTCCATTCCACGTGTTTGTCCCCACTCTCCTCTTAGACTGCCTTTCTCTCTCCACTGGACTCCTGCCACTGTCTCCTCGCTACTCTCCTTGTTTCTGGTCCCGTTCCTCCTAAAGTCGTCTTAGACCACCCCCCAGCTGGATCTAAAGCACAACATCACCACACTGCTCCCAGCTCAAGACCCCACAGAGAGTTCTCTTTGCCAGCAGAATAAAGCCCGAGCTCCCTGGAATAACACCCCAATTCTTCGGTCACCCGGCCGTTGCCTCCCACGCTCCTGTCCCGGCTTTTGCAGCTCCCCATCAGGACCCCACGGTTTAGCAACCCTAGGTGGCTTCCCGAGGGTCCGCCCACCTTCATCCTGCTGCTTCCTCTGCCCGCAGCAGCTGCCCCGACTCCTGCTCACCTTTCCTGACCAAGCCCGGGCGTGAAGCTTCTCCTGATCCAAGTGGGGCTCCCGCGCCCTCCCGGCCCCACCCCCTCAGAGGCCCCAGTGCTGGCTTTCATCTTAGCCTTCATGAGTCCTTTTGAAATCCTAGCCCCCAGCTAGACTTGAACTCTGGGAGGGCAAAGATCACGACTTAATCCATCTGTGTACCCAAGACCTAGTCTAATCTGGTCCTTGCATATAGAATTTTTGTCGAAGATAAGGAGTCTTCGTCTTTGCTTATGTTACTGAGTTAATCTCATACAGAAGTGTTTTTTAATTCAACTCTTTAACTTTAAGCCACTCTGCCCGTGAAGTGCCTCCGTGTCTATCCTCCTGGACGTGTGTTGCTGTCCAGACTCCTGCCACCCGAGGGCTCACCAGATTTGCTGGGTGTTTCTCTTTGCTGACGTGGGTGTATCTGTACAGGGAGTAGCCCATCACAGAAAAAAGCAACACGGTAACCGATGCGGGCAAAACATACCAGAAGAGGATTTTAACCTTCAGCGCTGATGCTGGATCTGTGAGAAAAGGCGAGGGGGCGTAGACAGTTGTGACTGGGGGAACACTGGCCATGTCAGGAGGTTCTGGGAGTGTCCCCTACGTTTAGGAATTCAGTTTCCTCGTTTATAAATTGACAAGCTTGAGCTAATTGTTATGAAAGGTTTCAGAATTCTTACTCTCTCCGACAGTAGATGGTCTAAGGACTCATCTCAACCGGTCCAGTAAGGATGCACCAGCAACCGAGTCAGCAGATAGCCCAGCGTTCCACGTCTGGCTGTGAGATTCATGCTGGTCCTTCTATTGGAAGGTGAGTGTGTCTGACATTCAGGCAACTCACAGCACTTCAACCCAGACAGCAAAAGCCGCTGTGAAGATCCCATTATGCTGCCCCGCTTTCCAGCCCACTCATCAGACTCGGTCTCTCCGTACTCAGTAGAGGACGGAATGTAGGTGTCACCTGCTACGCGACTAACAGAACCCTCCTCGTGTGGGTCGGCCAGACTGTCTGGGTGGGTCTGGAGCGTGGGGACGTGTGTGGGGGGTGGCCGAGCTGGTGTGTGCTGAGAACGGCAGTAACTCCCTTCGAGCTCTTGCTGCTGTAGTTTCGTGGCAAGTAAGAGTGCACAGAGGAGGGGGACACCTGGTGACCAGGTCTAACGAGAGCAGCCCAGGCCCACCATGGGTCAGACTGCGTAGCTGATACATAGGGCTCAGTGCCACCAACTCATACTTGTTAAGTCCTGTGGGCTACTTGGAAATTGTGATGGTTAATTTTATCTGTCAATTTGGCTAGGCCATGGGACCCAGATATTTGGTCAAACATTATTCTAGATGTTTCTGAGAAGGCATTTTTTAGATGAAATTAGCATTTAAATTAGCAGACTTGAATAAAGCAGATTACTCTCTAATGTGGCTGGGCCTCATCTAATCAGCTGAAGGCTTTAATAGAAAAAAGACTGGCCACTCTGAGGAAGAGAGAATTCTGCCAGCAGACTGCCTTCAGACCAGCACCCCAACATCAGCTCTTCCCTGGGTCCAGCCCGTGGCCTGCCCTGCAGGGTGTGAACTTAGCTGCCCCTACCATCACGTGAGCCACCTTCTTGAAATCACTCTCTACCTCGATGGATAGGGAGATAGATGCGAAAAATACGTATTTACTGGTTCTGATCTCTGGAGAACCCTAACACAGCAGGAGAGAAAGAAGCAGCCTTAGCACAAATTTCGGGCACTTTCCTTACAGACTAATAAAATCAGCAAGAGTGTCGCGGGAGCATTCTAACCACACAGACGTCGGATTCTCTTGATGCCCAGGCCCAAGAGAAAGCGGCAAAGTCACTGTCCCGTTAACTGCTTAGTTAAAGACTGGAAATAGAAGTGCCACGGACAGTGAGGGTGGCCAAGAACAGCCGGGGGAGAAGTCCAGGTTCGGGGGTCCGACCGCAGGCTCGTCTCCCCCAACGACTCCTGCAAGCGCATCTGTGACCAGGCCTCGTGTGGAAAGGAGCCAACACCACAGTGTAGACGCTGCAGGCGCTGAGGGTTCCCGGCCCCGACTTCAGGCTCCAGCTTGGTCCAGTCCTCTCACTACAGCCCCGGCCTCTGGACTGAACCTGCCCTAATTAAAAAGAGCCCTCACAACCATGACTGGTGTCACTTAGTGTACGCAGCACGTCTGTTGTCATAAACCAATAAGCTGTATCGGCGTTTTTGGGACTGAGGGACTGTGGGAAGCAGAAATGTTCTTTCAAAAAATAGACCCCAAAGAGGCAAGTGATTTTTTGAAAGAGTTGGCCCTCAGACAGTGTCTTGGGCAGGTGCCGGGAGCCATGGAAGAGCTGGGCTACTGTGGAAAGGGCAGCACTGAGGTGGAGCGTGGCCAGGCTCCTGCAGCTGCAGCTCCTGTCATCTGCTCGTCGGCTGCTTCAGCTCTGCCAACCGCTTAATGGTTTCCACGGGAAATTCATTCCCACCATTTGGCCACTGATCAGGCTGTTAGTACACAGAGCACTCTTCCAAATACAAAAATGGTTTCTTCAGTCTGCTTTGTTCTGCCTTTTGCTTGTAGCCTTTTAGTTTTATTTGACATCTGGCAGAGAACTTTCATTTGAAAGGGCAAGGTGTGATTAGGATTGAGATTCAGAAAGAGAGCTTTTGACTCTGGATATGTACTCACAGAATTCTCTTTTTATTGCCTGGGACAGTTTCACGTTGGGATGTGGGAGGCGTGAGGGAAGCGGAAAATGGGTTCTGTCCCCACTCCCCTCCCAGGGCGGGTGATGGAACCGAGGCTGTGCGCCTGCCCTCGGCCAGCACATTCGGAGGAGAGGAGCCGAAGAGCCACGGATGAAGAGCTGGTCAGTGAAGGTAAATGTGAGGATTTATTTGCAACTTTCAGGTTTTGAATTCAAGGTCCTCTCACTCTGGGGAAGAACATTAAACAAGTGCCGGGCTCCTAACTGTCTCCTAACAGGAATGAGACTCTCAGCCACAGACCCCTAGCAGCCGCGTTCAGAAGGCACGAGAAGGAGACAAATGAAAGGAAGGAGAGAGAAGCGAGTGTGGGAGGGAGGGGGTAATTACTGATCTGCGGATTCCAGAGCTCGTACGGCCCAGTGAGCAACATCTGGACACTGCCTGCAGAGCCCGGAATTTGTGTTCCCAAGGGAACGAAAGATTCTGTTTCAAAGGGTAAGAGATCTGAACAGACATTTTTCTGGACAAGATTTACAGATGGCCAACAGGCACATGAAAAGATGTTGAATATCACTAATTATTAGGGAGATGCAAATCAAAACTACGAGATATCACTTCATGCTGTTAGAACGGCTATCACTGAGAAGACAGGAAATAGCAAGTGTTGGAGAGGATGTGGAGAGAAGGGGAGCCTCATACACTGCTGGTGGGAGTGCAAACTGAGAGCCACTATGGAAAACAGTATGGAGATTCCTCAAAAAATTAAGAATAGAACTACCATACGATCCAGCTATTCCACTGCTGGGTATTTATCCAAAGAACTTGAAATCAATAATTCAAAAAGGTATCTGCACCCCTATGTTCATCACAGCATTATTCACAATAGCCAAGATTAGAAGCAGCCCAAGTGCCCATCAATGGATGAATAGATCCATTCACACACAATGAAATACTGCTCAGCCATAAAAAGGATGAAACCATCCCTTTTGAGACAACATGGATGGACCTTGAGGGTATTATGCTAAGCAACAGAAGTCAGAGAAAGACAAATACATGATTTCACTCATAAGTGGAAGATAAAAACAACACACATAGATACAAGAATTGGCTTGGTGGTTACCACAGGGGAAGCGGGGAGGGAAGAGGGAGAAAGCCGTGACGGGGCACACGTGTGTATGGTGAAGGATGGTAATCAGTCTTGAGTGGTGAACGTGATGTAGTCTACACAGAAGCTGAAATACAGAAACGTACACCTGAAATTTCTGTAATGTTATAAACCAATATTAACACAATTTTAAAAAAGTATTTTTAGGATAATGTTTTGTTTCTAGCAATAAAATTGTCTGATGTTCATGAAGACCACAGAACTTCTACTGAGCAGAGGGATTATAATTTTAAAGAAGAAAAAACATGTGTGTACAAATTCCTAATTGTTATTTTCCAAGGCGGAGGCTTCTTGGCAGCGCGCTCTGGGACAGCAGCTGGGAGTTCCCTGTGGGGTGAGAGACCCCTGACGTTGGCCCAGCTCAGGCAGAGTCCCAGGCCGCTCAGAGCATTCCTGGTGATGGTCGTTTCTGTCTCCACCTGTTTCTGGTAGACACGAATCTGCCAAAACCTTGTCTACACTGCCATACTTCCTTCCAGATTTATTCGAGTTCCTTCCTCAGACCAGCCGGGACTTTTTAAGCTTACCTTTCAAAGTACTGACACACTGCTTCTCAGAGGGCTGAGCAAGGCGAGGAGGCCCCGGGACGAAGGACGCCACGTGGACACAGTACAGAGTGTCTGGCTCCAGCCAGCTGAGCACCAGCATCTGGTTGGTCACACACTGGGACCACTAGGATAGGGAATTGCAAACAGCAGTTAGAGCCAAGGATTTCCAGCACCACCCCAGACAAATGACTCCAGGAGGAAAGAAGAGACCGGGATACCGTTAAATCGTTTACTGTCACTACAAGCTTTCTTTCCAGCAACAGCTTTAAAATACCCTTTCCTCTGGGTCACAGAGTGTGGTCAGGACTGGAACAATTCTAAATAATAACACAAGGATGGATTTCTTATTCAGCTTTGTCCTGTGTTCTTGCTAACATTGTTTCCTTTCTTGGGGAGTGACTGACAGATGTCATGCAAGTAAAAGTTCTCCACCAAAGTGGGGTGGACGATCGCCCTACACCCCAACAGCAACCTCACACCCATTAACAGAGCATTTCTGTAAAGGAACTCTGCAGGAAGTTCTCTGAATTTCTACACATCAGCTTCAACGGCGTCCTGACGGCATCTCTTTCCAACTTCACATCTTCCCAGGTTCACATGCAGAGAATGGAAACATCAGGGCTGCTTGCTCCAGTATTGGCTGTGAAAAGCGACACGGATTCATTCCATTTCAGACTTACCGTTTTATTTGCTTTAGCGTTATATATGGACACGTGATACTTCAGATTAGAATAGATTTGTTGCATGGAAATAGAACTTTCTTCTGGATCTTTCTTCCACTTCTCTGGAGCCGTCAGAACAATAGAAATGGATTTCTTGTCAGTAGTCAAAGCAACCTCTGGTGGGCCAATTCGTGCTTAAAGGGGAGGGGAGAGGGAATTATCATGTTCAGACGTAGAAATCACCTTGGATAAAGTTTCAGTACAATCCTACTGGGGTCAGCGCTCTGAAGCCCACCCGCTTATTCGAGATGCCTCAGAGCGCTCCAAGAGGGGCCCAAGTCATGCCTAATCTTGAAATAGTCGTTTCACACGCCCTGACACAATGTTCAAACAGCACACGCAAGTGTTGTATGGCTTAGTTCCTAGTCACAGGGCTAAACAGTGCTGGATGGTGGAAATATGATTGAAAGTGTCTACAACACTCGCGTGACTTGAAAAGTTGATGATAAATAAACTTCACATGATTTGGTAAGTGGTAAAAATCAGACACGGAGAAATGAACTGCTAAAGACCTTCGGAGATGTGATTGGAATGATCTAGAACAGAGGTTAGCAGACTTTTACCATAAAGGTCCAGACAGTAAACATTTTAGGCTCTGCAGGCCATGCGATCTCTGTTGCAACTATTATTTACACAAATCTAAAAACTTTTCATGGCTCTTGGCCTCTAGGAAAACGGAAGGGGAGTTTGCTGCATTTGGTCTGAGGGCACAGTTTGCTGACTTCTGACCTGGAAGGGCACCGGGAATGGCACAAGGCTCCAGCTCCAGGACCGAGGAGAGCTTGTAATTTCCTTATGGCCCCTCTGAGTGGGTCCTGCATGGCTGCGTCGACCACAGACCAGGGGACGGAAACATTTAAAAAGCAAATGTCAGGGAGCTGTTGCCTTAATTCTGAGCTTCACCTAGAAATTATGTCATCCTACTAAAGAGTTTATAGCAAGACGAGCCTTTGTTTGGTGATCAGAACAATCTTTAATCAATCTTGTGGACATATATCAATGGTTTATAAACCCAAAACATTTAAAAACAAATCTGTCAGTTCCCCAAATTGCACAGTCTCCAGTGAATAATAAAACAAAATCAAGATTTGATAATATTGACATCTAGTGTCAGTTTCAGATCTGGGAGAGATCTCAGAGATCACTAGGCTAAACCTTTCGCTCTGAAGACGAGCCTCTAAGATCCAGTTGGGGGGAGGCACGAGGCTGTCCACTCCCCCAGCTGATGGGTACAGGGCAGGACAGAACCACGCGGCCCCCTGGCCTCCTGGCGAGGGCGGCTCTGAGGCCGAGACCGTTACACGGAGAGGTCGGATGACCTTGATGTTAATACGTGTTTAACAGACAATTGTTACTTACTTTCTAAAAAAGGATAGAATCGTCCAGTTTGTGCCCCTTTGGAACAATTCGTTCCCCAAACGGCCTTAACTCTGGCGTAATACTGATGTTCGTAGTCAGAGGTTTCAGCAGAGAGGTTGCAGTAGGTCCTGAGGATATTTCTGCATTCGGATTTACTCAGCCACTTCTTTTGCCCGTATCTGCTGAGGAGGAAATTAAATTGATAATGAGCTGCCCTCTGCTTTACAACAGGAGAAAACCAGTCATGACACAAAACTGAGTGGAACTTAGGGCCTCCTCTTGAGAACAACAGAAGTGCCTGTCATGGAAATAAAATGGAAGCTCCTTTTGCTGCTGGCAATTTTTTCATTAGCTGTCAGGAACATGAGTCAGACTTTCTGTAATTACCTTTTCTGTGAATTATAACGTGGATGGTACATTTTGAAAGCATGTATTTCATTATTATTCTTGGGCTACAGTAAAAATTTTACATATTCTGTGGTCAATTCTTCCAGTAATTGTCCATGTGAGTTTTTAGTCCACCAAGCATACTAGGGTAAGTTTGATGGTTGTTTTAAGAAAAATTAGTCATTTTTTTTCTTGGAAGAAAAATTATCTTGACATTCTCATAAAATGTAAAACGCGACTTGCCATCAAGTGTTCTGGGGAAAATTCGCTAGGTTGGAGTGCGTATCAGAATCTCTATTTTCAGTAATGATAGTGAGGATGATGATGATGATATGAACTAGGACGTTCATATCGATTTTCCCTCTCCTTTAATGAAAACACAACACCCATAGCAAATAGGGAGGGGGAAATACTCTTAGCACTTCTCAGGTGGGAGAGACTGAGGTACAGAGAGTTTAAGCAACATCTGGTGAGTCAGTAAAGAGACAGGGTCACCCGGGAGGCTGCTGAAGGGATGGGAGCAGGTGTGCTGGGTTTCAGGAAGCTAACTCTGGTGGCAGCGTGGAGGACGGACTGGGTTAGGAGAGGCACCCCGGGAGCAGGTTAGAGGCTCCTGCGGATCCAGGGGGCAGGTGCAGGAGTCTTGGACAAGGATGGTGGCAGTAGAATGAATGATAGGACAAAAGGAAGACATATTTGGAGTCAGGACTTGGTGATCGAGTGCACGTGAGAGATGAGGGAAATGAAGGTATTGAGGACGACGTGTCTTTCTGTCTGAGACAAACGTGTGGAAGAGTGGTAACATTTACCAAGGAAAGGAATACCGAAGAGGAGTGGGTTTGGGAAGGGGGAATGGGGGTAGAGAAGGAAAGATAATGAGTTCCATTTGGGACATGCTGAGCTCAAGGCGTGTAAAAGATGTGGGCCCTGGGGCTCAGGAGAGAGTGTGAGAAGGAGGCAGCAATTTTGAAATCAGTGGCATAAAACTGCTCATTGAAGGCACAGGCGTGAATGAAATGATCCACGCAGACAAAGCAAAACCTAAGATAGGCTTCAGAAGCATCGAGATTTCAAGGTTGAACACAAAGTGCCCTTAGTAACAGCAGCTACAGAGGGAGCAGAAAAACAGACGTCACGAAAGTCAGGGAGACAGCGTGTCTTGAGAAGGAAATGACTTTTTCAAGAGTTGCCAAAGCTTGAGAGTGTCTTCCCTTCTCAGAATATGGCAACAGATTCTTGAAAGTAAAGACTCCTGTTTCGTAAGTGCCACACCTGCCAGAAGACGTTAGAAACAGAGTTCGATCTTGTTAACCAACTTGACCATCCTAGTGGTCACCACTGCCTAGGGGCTTTCAAACTTTTTCTGACTGTGAGCCACAGAAAGAAATACATTTTACATTGTGACCCAGCTCCCCAGAACATCCCTATATCTAACATACTAGAACACAGCTTTTACAGGATAATGCCTAAGCGTTATTACGTGCCATGTCTTCGGTTGTTTTCCATCCAATCCACTCCACGCCATTCCAATCCTTTCCATGAAAAATAATGCTCGTTACGTCCCTCTAAATTGACTTCATGGCCCACCAACAGGTCTTGACTTGTGGTTCGAAGAATATTGCCATTGCCTGTGTGACTCTCCCTCCTCAAACTTCCTTACTCTGCCGAGGGCAGGTTGCTTCCCGCGACAGATGCTGATGAAGGAGAAAATGCTCTTTACTAAATTCTGGACAAAATGCTTTGCAAGTCTGACCAGCTGATAGACATGAATCAGTCAACAAATACTCTAGTAGTGATGCTGATGCACAGCAAAGAGTCATGTGGGGCCTCAGAAGTCTGATTGTTTTCTGGTGATGGCAGGAAACATTCATGGAGTGCCTACTGTGTGTCGGGCCTGGTGCTTAGGATTTGCACGTTTTATCTCATCTAATTATCATAACGACCTTAGACTTATGTGCCATTATTTTCATCCCATTTTACAGATGAGGAAACTGAGGCTTGGCGAGGTTAAGGGAGCCCTCCTGGTCACATGACTGGTAACAGGCACATCCAGGATTGGAACCACTTTTCCCTAAAGCCAAAGCTTGTGCTTTCAGTGCAACGCTGTATTTTCTTCATTGAATTCTTTTGGCAGATATAATTTAAACTTTTGTCAAAATTTCATCTTTTAAGATGTGGTATATATACACAATGGAATACTGCTCAGCCATAAGAAATGATGAAATCCAGCCATTTGTGACAACATGGATGGACCTTGAGGGTGTATGATGAGTGAAGTAAGTCAGAGGGAGAAAGTCAAATACCATATGATCTCACTCATAAGTAGAAGATAAAAGCAATGACAAACAAACACATAGCAATGGAGATTGGATTGCTGGTTACCAGAGGGGAAGAGGGGAGGGGGAGGGCAATAGTGGTGCTTAGGCACATGTGAGGGGATGGACTATAATTAGTCTTTGGGTGGGGAACATGATGTAATCCACACAGAATTCAAAATATATTACGATGTACATCTGAAAGCTATATAATGTTGTAATCCAATGTTACCGCAATCAAACAAAAAAAGAAAATAGAAAAAAGAGACCAGAAGACTCACAAAAGTATTCTTGTATGTCTGGGTGGTAAGATTACAACTAATTTAGATTTTCTTTCTTATAAATTTAAATATGTTACTTTCAATACCCAGTATGCCTTTGTATGATAAATATATGTACATATGTACGTAACAAAAAAAAATTTCATATTTACTTGGAAACAAACTTCACTGAAAAGTATAAAAGTATAATACATAAGCTGTCGGAGGTTACCCAGCTGGATTCCGGCCTGCTGATGGACCCGGACTGTCTGACTTGGCACTGAGCATGGACCCTGTCCGTGAGATGTGGCCCTGTGTTCTGTGCGCCTTCCACTTGCACGGGCATGTACGAACTCCAGCACGGCAAGTTTCTTTCCCAATATTCTTTTTTGAAGGTTGCACAATCTAAATAATCTGTTCTCATAGAGCAGTGACGACTCTCCCTATTTTTTTTTTTTTTGTCCTTTTCTGAATCACATAAACGTGAAGGACAGAGCAAGCTCTTTGCTCCACCTAATGGAAGAGGAGGCCAAGGCACCTCAGGAGCCGTTTCTCTTCGCAGAGGGACGTCTGCTATCCTAACACACCAGCTCCTGAGAAAGTCCTCGGAAATGAGAACAGGGTTCTAGATAAATGAAGTCAGTCTGAGGAGCAGCTGATGTCTGTCACTGTCGTTAGGGGTCAGAATTTTCTTTTCAAAGACCAAAACGACATTATTCTTCTTTTTGCAAATATGGCGCGTTTTTTTTCTTAACTCAAACAATCAGAAAAGTATAATCAGAGAGAAACAAATCACCCTGACACCCATCACCCTGAAACGTCTGGTCCACACGCAGCTGGACATCTTGTTATGCTCACAGATACACAGAAGAGGGATCAGACAGCTGAACACATAGCCAAAAACAAAATCATCCCGTACCTGTGGTTTTAGTCAAAGTGGTACATTTAACTCGATTTGAACTTTAATAGAAAAAGAAGTTGATGTGAAATCAAAGGAACTGGTGCAGTTCAAACGTCTGATCACCCCAAAAGATAATAGTTCTAAAAGATCTTTTACATTGAGAAAATGATTTATGAAAAATATTGAGAGTTTAGTTATCAAAATGAAATATTTCCATTTTAGATCACATTTAATGGCTTCCTACTGTGAAAGTCAGTACACCTCCAGTTGTTCCTCACCTTCTGATTTGTTTATTATTGTTTAGGTTCAAACATTTTCAAGGGGTTTCGATAGCCGCATCCCCCAGCACTCTTTGGTCCTAGTTTGGCACTGAGATGGTCTCGGGGCACGATGCCGGTCTCCCGGCCCTCATCCCGCCCTTACTGAGCTCTTTGTCGAGGCTCATCCTTCTCTCTCGGTCAGCCAGATGTTATCTTTAGTTAGTGGTTTGCTCCCCTTAAGAAGGTCTTGGGGAAGTGTATCCCGATTTTCTACCTGCTTGAAAATACATCTTGACTTGATAAGAGGCTCAGGCCACACCTATTTCTCCTTAGAAGATGCATCACTGTCTTCCGTTGAGTGTGGCCAGACAGAAATCACCCCATCCTTCGCCACTTGAGTCCTGCTTTTGGTGGGATGACCATGAGTCATTTCATTTTCTTAGAGTTCAATAACTTCACCAGGATGTCCTTCTTTCCTAGACACAGCATGCATTTATCAGTTCCAGATAGTCATTATTACCTGTTCAGCTGTTACCATCACTTAGCTGTGACAGGATTTTCATCTCTATATAACGTTTTTTATTTTCCTTTTCCTAAGCTCTGCCCACTTGCTTAAAAAAAGTTCTTCCTCTTGTCTTAGAATCCCTTCTTTGATTGTTATTTCTTCTTTGAGCTTTACCATTAGAGATCATGTTGTTTATGGACTCAACCGATGGACAATTATTTGTCTGAACTTTTCTCCTATTTCTACGAGAAAGCTTTCAGAAACTTTTAATTTGTGCTCCTTTTTTGGCTTTCCCTTCTGGTAATTATGGCTAGATGTTGTGCGGGCCTCTCTGAATGGGGCTAGCTGCTTACCGGATATCAGGTGAATGAGTGTAAGAGTGGGGATCTGTCACACACCTGCTCACCGAATCTCACTCCCTCTGTCAGGGAGCCTGCCCCCCTCAGGGTTGGACTGCAGAGGCTGATGTGGCTCCGACACATCTGTAAGGCCATGGCCTCTCTGAGCTGCCTCCCAGCCATCGCCACCAGCCCTCCCTCCTGCTCCCGTCTCACGAGGGGTCCTCCCTGGGCTGCGACTGAGTCTCTACAATGGAGACATCACTTGAAACTGATTTCCCCTTCAGCTCCTCCTTCTCTGACATTTCGTGGCACCAAACTGGGCTGTCCCAGTGGGGACCTTTCCTCAGTTTCTGATGGTGGCAATCCTTGGATTCCACATCCTTAGATTGTTAGGTGAGCCTCTTAGCACTGGGACATTTCTTGCTGTGAAATTATTTTCTACTGTTGGAGTTTGAGAAAGTATAGGTTTACTTTCAGCCTCTGCAGTGTTTTCTTTCAGATTTCACAATATTTGGCTGGTATGCTTCATAGTTTGTGGCTTGGGGTTGTGGCCAATTCTTTCCTTTCTGTGAAGATGGGCATTGTCAACTGTTTTGCAATCCTTCTCGCTTGCAATGAGTTTTGAGGGGGAGGTGAGGAGTGAAAATGTCTATTCGTGACTCTCTTTAACAGGAGCAGCTAGTTGCACAGAATGCTGCACTGAGTTCCACTTTAAAATGTCTAAAATTCCAATACGTTTGGGCATTTCAGAGAAGAAGGATTTTCTTGTTTGCTCAGCCACAGAATCACATTTTGACCAACTTCTTTTCTCCATTTAACTAACTTCCCCTTCCCTGAGCACCTGATGCTTCTGTCTCCATGAAGAAACTCTTTTCTAATTTAATCTAACAAAACATAAAAAGAAAATCTAACATGAAATCTCTAAAACTTTCTTTGCTTCAAACATATTTACAATAAGTAGATGGTTTCTCTTTGCATATTAACAGGAGCCTGAGTCTCGGGTTTGTAAATTCACCAAAAGGAAGAGAAACAACTCACATGAAATACCGCACGGTGTAAGTAACTTCGGCTCCTTGTAGGCCCTCTGGCGGACTCCACTGCAGGATGTTCTTCATGTTTATGGAGGAGAAGGTGATATTTGTAGGCTTAGGCAGACCAGCATGGACACAGGGAACTGGAAGGGAAGAGAGTGGATTCGGAGTCTCAGCGGAGAAAAGAAAACATAACCGCTGTGGCAGCTGGTCTCCAGACATGGCCCCCATGACCTGTGCCTTCCCGGACTCGTGCCTGCTACTCCTCCCAGACTGAACTGAGCTGACCCCATGATGCCCTCCAACCACCAGAACATGGCAGAAGCCACCCTGGGACTAAGCCTCAGGAACGCCTGGCAACTCCCACTTTCGCTCCATGGAGAGTCCTGAGCTGCCGTGTGAAAAGTTGGGCTATCCTGCTAGAGAAACCATGTCAAGAGGCCACGTGAGGAGGGAGAGCTTCAGCGGTCTCAGCTGAGCCCGGCCTTCCAACCAAGGGGCCAGAATGAAGCCCCTGGGAACATTCCAGCTGCCCCAACGTAGGCTGAAACTCCAGGAGAGACTCGCAATGAGGCCTGCAGAGGAACCATCCATGAGCCCCGTGAACCCTCGGAGTTGTGAGAAATAATCAAACGATTGTTCTAAACCACAGAGTTTTGGGGTAGTTTATTGCATATCAGCAGATAACTGAAACAATCCCTTTATTAGATATAGAAGTAAAATTTAGGATCGGTGCCCCTGAAAGGCCAGAGTTTTGGAGGTAGGAGTTGGGGTTAGTTTACTAAAGTATATAATAAAGCAATAATTAGAAAAGAAACCAGTGAAAGAAGATAATTTTTTAAATTAAACACAGATATGTTCACAACACTGTGCTCTAAGAAAAACTGTATCCTAGAGGGTTAATTTGTAGAAATCCTCCATAGAGAAATGACAAAGAATTGAGAAACTACCAAAAAGTTAGAAGAGGACAAAAGGAAAGTGAAGGATGGTACTTTATAAATGAAAACAAGGATGATTCCTGAATTAAAACGAATGAGAAAATTCGGTGGTAACACGTAAGAAGCAAAATATGAATTTAAACTGTTGGAGAGACCACAGAGTACTCGCTGACAAACAGATTTGACGAAGAACTTATCCTGTCACACACACGCACGTTCCAGTCAATGAACTTGGAAAACATCAAATGTTGATATTGCAAATCAAATTTAGGAATAAAATTTAGCTAAGTCACTGAAGGCTGGTCCAATGTTGGCTAACGTCCCATAATTCTTGTGTAAATTAGCTGGGACTAATGTCAGAGAAAGGAGTTAGCCTTATGCTTGTGGTAATCCTTGGCTAAGATCAGCTCTAGACAATGTATTGCAATTCCGCGAGCCAAATGAAAAGAAAGAAAAAATTCTTTACTTTAGAATTAAACTTTGTAACATGACCCTGATCTTAAGCCAAAATAATCTCTTTAACATGAGGCAGAGACACCAAAATATTGGTGGTTGAGTGTGTGTTTGTGTGTGTGTATATTTTCTGTATTTGTAATGACTCCCACTTTTAACCTTCATCATTTTTTTCATATCTCAGTCTTATGTTTAAGAAGAAAGTTAAATACCCAAAGAGAAGCACTACCAACTGATCACTGTGTGGGTGTGCGTGGGAGGAGGAGCGAGGCTCTCAGACGGACACCCACCCGACACCCGTCTCATTTCTATTCTGCCATCTCTTTGGAACCACTGTATTTCATCTGGCATTGGCTTTTTCGGGAGGTTATATGCAGTGAGTAATTATCAATGATTTAATACTGCTCTGTGCTATCACTGGGTTCTAAATTTTAATCAAATTTTTGAGGACACAACAGAGAACATGGGGAAGCAATGCCATGAAGTATAGTATTTCCCAACCCTTCAAAAGTGAGGAACGCTTGTAACAAAAAACTCCAAGCATCTTTCCACATCTAAAATGCTGTGTTCTGCGTGTTTAGATGACACAACACAAGAAGAGTGGTTAGTATCCTGCAAGAACTAACACTAAAATAGACCATTTATTATAATATTATGGATGGAAGACATTACCAAATATGGCTCCTCAGAACTAGCTGATAAGGAAGTAGGATGTTCTGGTTGTGGCAACTTGTGGTTAGAGCTGTAAAACACAAGTTATCTTAGACACTATAGTCCAGGCATACTTTTTTTTTTTGGAGGAAGATTAGCCCTCAGCTAACTGCTGTCAATCCTCCTCTTTTTGCTGCGGAAGACTGGCCCTGAGCTAACATCCATGCCCATCTTCCTCTACTTTACATGTGGGATGCCTACCACAGCATGGTGTGCCAGGCAATGCCATGTCCACACCCAGGATCCAAATGGGGGAACCCCGGGCCGCCAAAGCGGAATGTGCGAACTTAACCGCTGCGCCACCAGGGCGGCCCCCAGGCGTACTTTTTCAAGGTTTAATCCACAAATCTTTATCTTCTACAATATTGGCTTCTGCTCATCTTTTTTTTTTTTTGAGGAAGATTAGCCCTCAGCTAACTACTGCCAGTCCTCCTCTTTTTGCTGAGGAAGCCTGGCTCTGAGCTAACATCCGTGCCCATCCTCCTCTAGTTTATACGCGGGATGCCTACCACAGCATGGCTGCCAAGCAGTGCCATGTCCGCACCCGGGATCCGAACCAGCGAACCCCGGGCCTCCGAGAAGCGGAACGTGCGAACCCAACCGCTGCGCCACCGGGCCGGCCCCTGCTCATCTTTTAATAGAAGAAAAAACTGACAGAACTCTCAAGATGCCTAAAACATACCCAAAGAAGTTTTAAGAAATAACTTGGAATAAAAAAAATAGATTTCTCATTTTAATTTAATTTAATTTTCTTGGTCACTGTCACAAGGAAACAAAGCAATTTTGCTCTTCTGCAGTGAACTCTGCTTTGGAATGTGCTGTCAATCATTAATGCCCATGGAGTCAAGGGACATTTTGATTAATGTTTTGTAATTGTCTAAAGCCTCTAGAAATGCTGTGCCCATTATCAAAACGCTACCAAACTCTGGTAATAATAGGTTAAATAAAAGCAATTAATAACGTGACAATAACATTAAAAGTTTTTCATCATACCATTCTATTCCTTGAAAAGAAAACATGTTTTATCATGAATGCTGTGAAATGTGTCTCTACCTCCTCTGCAAGACTACGTTACGGGGAAATCACACCACAGTTTTGTTGACTGTGGAGTGTTAATGATTTGTCACCATGGTGAGTCTCGACCTTTCTGCACGGAGACTCACAAGGGCTGCCTGCTCTTGCACAGTTCTGGCTCCGGTAGGACGTGAACAGTCTTTAGTACGATTAAAGGTAATGCTGAGAGTGGGACCCATTCACGACAGCCTAAGAGATTCTACTTTAATAGTAGACACAGTATGTGAATAAAATTCAGTTTGCATAAGATTTAAAAAACACAACAAATATTGTGAAAACCTTTATGTTACGGTATTTAGTTGAAATGAGGTAAATTGACCAGCACATAATACAAACAGTAGCTGACATTTGTGGACTCCTCACCCTGCAACTGACCCTGACGTGCTTTATACATCTGAATCATCCAATCCTCATAACAGCCCTGGGGAAGGTACTTTTATTGCCATCTCCATTATAGAGATGAAGAAACTGAGGCACAGAGACGTTAGGTAACTTGCACAAGTTTGCACAGCTAGGGGATGAAGGAACTGGGTTCAGAACCCACACTCTTAGCCTTCTCACTCACCTGCTACCCTTTCAAACTAATCCTTAACTGAATTGAAACAAAGGCAAGGCAATCTGACTGGGCAAGGGAAACAAAAGAAAAAAAATGAACAAATGGGACTACATCAAACTAAAAAGCTTTGCACAGCAAAGGAAACCGTGAACAAAACGAAAAGACAACCTAAGAATGGGGAGAAGATATTTGCAAACCATATATCAGATAAGGGGTTAATATCCAAAATATACAAAGAACTCGTACAGCTCAACAACAAAAAAACCCAACAATCCAATTAGAAAATGGGCAAAAGACCTGAAGAGAGATTTCTCCAAAGAAGATATACAGATGGCCAACAGGCATATGAAAAGATGCTCAGCATCATTAGCTATCAGGGAAATGCAAATCAAAACTACAATGAGGTATCACCTCTCTCCGGTCAGAATGGCTATAATTAACAAGACAGGAAACAACAAATGTTGGAGAGGATGTGGTGAGAAGGGAACCCTAGTACACTGCTGGTGGGAGTGCAAACTGGTACAGCCACTATGGAAAGCAGTATGGAGTATCCTCAGAAAATTAAGAATAGATCTACCATAAGCTATCCCCCTGCTGGGTATTTATCCAAAGAACATGAAAATGCAAAGGCATAAAGATGCTTGCACCCCTATGATCACTGCAGCATTATACACAATAGCCAAGACTTGGAAGCAACCTAGGTGCCCATAAAGGGACGAATGGATAAAGAAGATGTGGTATATATGCACAATGGAATACTACTCAGCCATAAGAAATGACGAAATCCAGCCATTTGTGACAACATGGATGGACCTTGACGGTATTATGCTGAGTGAAATAAGTCAGAGGGAGAAAGTCAAATACCATATGATCTCACTCATAAGTAGAAGATAAAAACGACAAAAAAAAAAACAACACATAGCATTGGAGATTGGACTGGTGGTTACCATTGGGGAAGGGGTGGGGGGAGGGCAAAAGGGGTGATTAGGGTCACATGTGCGGGGATGCACTATAATTAGTGTTCGGGTGGTGAACATGATGTAATGTATACAGAATCTGAAATATGATGTACATCCAAAAAAAATAAAAATTAAAAAAACAGGCAAGGCAAGACTGATGAGAAAACATGTATTATTCGAAGATTAAATATAAAATAATTTAAATATTAAAAAAAATTATACATTGATCTGGTCAGTACATTTTTTTGGATCCCACCACATCTTGCAGCAGGAAGCTCTTTCTTTTTCCTTCCAGAATATTTTCTCTTATTTCCGCCTAGAATGCTCTCCTGCTTTAACACGTCCCCCAGACAGTGGATGGCGACTACGAAGGTGGGGACTCCTGGAGGCTGTGCTGGGTCTGTGCTGGTGCCTCTTTAGTGCTGAGGACAGGCCCCCTGTCAATGAGAAACCACAGTAAAACGTAAGGATGTGGAGATGTATTTGCCTTGGCCTTCAGTTCTTCATCTCCTGCACAGAATGCACCACGGCAACCTCACCTGCATTGACGGGGAATATCACTTCATGAGTCTTCATGTTTATTCATTCAACTAATATTTATTAGGTGCTGTTATGTCTCCCTAAAAAGATGTATTGAAGTCCTAGCCCCATTACTTCCGAATGCAACCTTATTAGGAAATAGGGTTTCTGCAGACGGAACTAGCTCAGATGAGACCCTCCTGCAGCGAGGCCCCTGACCCAGTACCACTGGTGTCCTTGTAAGCAGGAAGCCGTGTGAAGACTCACTGACCCAGGGGAACACCACTGCGGGTGGGAGATCGGAGTGATGCATCTACAAGCCAAGGACCGCCTGGGACGCCCAGGAGCTGCAAGAAGCAAGCAGCACCCTCCAGAGCTTCAGAGACGGCGCGGCCCTGCACACGCCTGGTTTCCTACTTCCAGCTTCCAGAACTGGGAGAGAACAAATTTCTGTGGTTCTAAGCCATCCGGTTTGTGGTGCTTTGTTAGGGCAGCTCCAGGAAACTGAGACAGGTGCTACGATGTGGCTGTCTAAGGGCGAACAAAGAGATACGCTCCTGCCCTTACGGAGCTCCCTACTAGTGGGAGAGAGACACCGTCAACAGGGCAACAAAGAAACCAAGATGTACCTACAGATTTGGTGATGAGGCTCTGGAAAGGAATGAGGTTGGAGCAGCAGGTCACAGAACCTACTAAGACAGGCTCTGAGGAGTCAGCTGTGGGGTGGGAGGGCAGAGACCCCCAGATGGGAAAGAGCCCATCAAAAGAGACAATGCCCTTGGACTGTCGAATGATCAGTGTAACTGGAAAAAGTGAGGAGAGGAGAGTGGCCACGACGAAACAGAAGGACGAAGTGGCTTGGTCCCCAGTCTTCATAAACCCTGGGAAGGAATTTGGATTATAACTGAAATTCAGCGGGAACATATTGGAGTCTTTGAAGCAGGGGAAGCCATGAGCCTACTTATATTTCAAATGGATTACTTCACTACTGAGGGGAGAAAAGATTGGATGGGGCAAGAATAGGACTGAGACACCAGCAAGACCATTTGCAGCAGCCCCAGTGAGGAGGCTGAGCTTTCCCAGCTGCTGGCTGTGGGGACGGGGTGGGCGGGCGGCTCCGAGCTCTGTATTCCTGTGTTTGCGACAGAAACACCAGGTGCTCCTGACGAGGCACAGCTGCAGGGCTCTCACTGGTCAGAGGACTCGGGGCTGTGAAGCCGAGTGAACAGACGAGGATTTCTCAAGGAATGCTTGCCCTGTCATCTGTTTGGTGATGCAAAGAAGTGGTAAAAAACAGAATTAGCACTTTTCTTAAAGGAGGAGAAATGGTACATTTAAAAAAACCACAATCGATAACTAATATTTTCTTGGTTTTTTGATCTTTGCAAAGTTTTTAGGCACTGTTTCTAGTTTAGAAAACATAAAGACACTCCTGAATAAACATTCCGATGAGATAAGTCATTTTTCTAACCTGCCAGGCCTGATAAGATAATTTAACCAATGCCAAAGTGAAAATATGTCACACCTACGTGGCTATCAGGAGTCGAGTGCCAATTTACGGTAACAAAAGCATTTTTGTTCATGTAGATATATGGCCTGGAAGTACAGTTCCTTTTCTCTGATGGTCCTTTGATTGCACATCCCAAATCATAAAGCTGTCAGCTCGGCGCACAGTTTCATTTCCGGGAGTGCTGCACCTTGACAGCTTCGGTTGGTACACAAGGTTCTTCATGGTCTGGCCTGGCCTCTCCTATCGCAATTCTGCCAAATGCACCGTGTTCACCAGCCACGCCAAATTACCTGCAACACCCTGAGTGGCTCTGCTGTTTCCTGCCTTTACAATTGTGGTGTCCTCCTCCTATAGTATCTCTTGGAACTAAAAGACTCCTTGTTCCTCCGTGTGTGTGTCCATTTAATGTATATTGGCTTGTACTATTTTAACGACATGATGATGCTGTGATGTCCTGACAACAGTCATCTGGCTGGGAGGCTGGTCTTTGAAGAGAAAATGGAACTCAGAAGACCTCAGAAAGGGGCAAGACTTCTGGGTTCCCTTCAACCTTTCCTGACCAGGGTGTGGCCTTTGAGCAATGGAGGGAGACGATGATGCCCCCTTGAGCTTCGAGCATTTAAGATGGCTTCTGCCCTAACAGAACTGAGAGGGGCCGGCAAGGAGTCCACTTAATGAACTTCCAAGTGACAACTGGTCAGTTATCTCTTGTAAGTCACATCCTTTAGATTAGTGTCCCCTGTCAGGATTTATTTTCCTTTTGTTATATCTTACTCTTTGGGAAAGTGTTCTAGCCCAGCCTCCCCTACATTACACATCATAAGGAGGAAGTCCTGTGTGTACTCTTGGGTCCTTAATAGAGTAGATAATTGACATTCGAAATGGGTAAATCTGTGACAACTTCAATAGTGGAGTTTTATAAAATGTGGCTGCTACACTAGTTCCAAGTTACCTTGTATACAGGTCCCTAGGTGTAGTGAAATGGCAAGTGACATCTTCCTAACTGCCTCAAAGCTAATACTAAGGTCTTCATCTAAGTATGTTGCAGTTTTAATTATATGCCTGTCAGTAAACGGTATTTCCATTTCATCATACTGTGGGAAAAGCCGATGCATACATTAGTGCCTGCTGAGCACTAGCAAAGTGGTGAGGAGCCCGCCCTGATGGCCTGGTGGTTAAAGTTCGGCACTCTCATCCCTTTGGTGGCCTGGGTTCATTTCCCACCACTTGCCTGTCGGTTGCCATGCTGTGGCGGCATCCCATATAGAAGAACTAGAACGACTTACAACTAGGATACACAACCGCATACTGGGGCTTTGGGGAGGGGAAAAAATTTTAAAAAAGAGGAAGATTGGCAACAGATGTTAGCTCAGGGCGAATCTTTCCCTGCAAAAAGAGGGGTGAGGTTTTCACAGCGAGCTCACAAAGAGCCCAGGTGATCAGTCTGTGGTTACCCAAACCTCTCTCTTTTGGGGCTGAGACGTTCCGACCTTCTCGCTGTGGACCACACATTCATCCACGGTGAGGAAAGCAACCAGACTGCAAGGGGCTGGACAGTCAAGGTGTCCACTCCTGGGGATGTCCCCTTTGAGGCTGTCCCAGTTTCTCAAGCTCATGACTAAGGGAACCTCAGCACTGAGGAAGTCCTGCCTCGCCCTGTCCAGAGAAAGCCTCCAGGCCCCCAGCCCCTCTGTCCCCCTGAAGCTGGAGCAGAGCCAAGGACTCACGAGGCTCTGAGCCGTTCGACGTTGGCACTGTGCTTTATAAAGAGGCTTTGTGTCCCCAGTGCCTGGCAAATAAATGCTTTTGAACAGAACTAGCCAGGGACAGTGGGGCTCACACAAATCATGGCGACAGGGCAGGACCCAGATTCACGTGAGCACCAGAATGAGGAGGAACAGCCTGAACCGCCAAATCTGGATAGCTTGGACCACCTCGGTAAACTCTCACTATACACAGAGATTAGCACGGTCAGAAGACACTCAACAGATGTTTTCTAGTGAAGGAATAGTAGTCCATGGCAAGTGGTTGTGACATATTTCAAGAGTCTTTTGAAATAAGAAAATACCTTAATATGCTTCTAAGACCAAAAAGAGACTTTACCTCCTGAATGAATTTTCTATCATGGGGAATGAGGTTAAAAACTGTTGACGTGCAAAAGGCACCTGAAGGCAATTAACCAACTCCAGGAAGCAAAAGTTGTAAATAATTCATCCTACCCACAAGCAAAGGGGAGCCAAGCACTATGGCAGCCTCCAAATGGACCATCTGAGCATTGTTCGACATCACCATGCCGACAGGGACGGCACATTTTCTTTTGTCTCAAGTAATCAACTATTTCTCTTGAAAAATATTAACTCCTCTCTCCTCCTCTGCCCCCGAATTATATATCAAGTGCCTTTAAAAAGTCAGTTGCCTAAACAGCACTTAAACGTGATTCCGGGACAATTTACTGGAGTACAGACACACAGCTGTCTTCTCTAAGGGAGAGAGCATGATTGGGTGTTAACATCAGTTCCTTTGAACTCATTCTCTTCCCCTGGCCACCCACCCCACTAAGATTCCCCTATTCTTTGCCCGCTCACTGCTGTAGGTGTGTGCTGCTCAGTTTTCCCTGTAATAATGTTGCACATTGTACTGGGTGCTGCCACCTGTCCCATCTCATTGCTTCTAATTGTTTGCGTGAGTAGATCAAAGAGAAGTTCTGAGAACAAAGGCTCTAAGGCACACTGGGACCCGCTCCCTGCTCCATCACTAACCAGCTGTTTGCCTGTAATAAGTTATTTAACTGCTGGGCCTCAATTTCCTAATTTGAAGAATGAAAGAATACTCTCTGCCTCCTAGGCTTGTCGGGATGATTACATGAGATTCTCTATAGAGAGCTCGTAGAACAGTGGCGGGCACAAAGAGAGAGCTCAATATCACTAGCTCAGTATTGTCTTCCACGGCTACTATTCTCATTTTAGCACTGAATAGACAGAGGCCCAGAGAGGCTGACTGACTTGGTTATTCAGCTATTCAGTGGATGCTGATGCCCAAGACTCTCTCTACTAGGATACACCTGCTGCCTTTAGGAAACGCTCCAAAGAGCAGTGTTGTGGGAAGAAGGGATTGTCTACTTGTTATAAATTTTGCATGTTACAGATGATAGCTTCTAAGGAGAGAGAAAAGAAATACAATGAGGAAAACCCGAGTATTTCTTCTTCTCTGACGCTTTTCCTGGTGGACCTGTACACAGTCATACCATTCATTCAAGATGGGTGCTGGGCATGTCCTGTGTGCTAGAAATAGAAACTGATACGCAGTGGAGGGCAGAAACACACAGCCCTGGAGCAGATAGTTTCGAATCTGAGACACAATCCATCAATACACGATCTCCCTACCAGGAATGTGAAGGTTTACACGGATGAGGTATGCACACGTCAAACAGGGGTGTTATTTCTTTATAACACTCGAATAAGTAAATCAATGTGCTTAAACATGTGTCTGAATATTACTGTTGGTACTTGATAGCAAGTAGGAATTAAGAGTAGAGACTACTTTTTAAAATAAATACATTGGAGTTTACCCATCAAAGAGAGCGTGCATCTTCCAAGAATCCCCCAGGAGGGTTTACAGTTATTCCCAGGGTGCTGCTCAGCTCATGGCACTGGGGCATGCTTTCTTTCAACTGCAAGTGTCTTCTGAGGTAGTTTATAAACATGCAAAAAATTCCATCTCATCTTTTGTATAGGCTCACCTTATTTTTGCCCAACATAGCATTTCCCAGCTTGATTACCAAGCGGCTTTGAATGCTTCTGAAAATTACGCCACACCTCCACTTAATGGGTCATTCTGACTCGTGTGCAGTCTATCTGGAACTCTGAAAACAGGAGTTTAAGAAATAAATCACTGTGAGATTTTTGTGTATAGCCTTCAAAAATGCCTATTTTGAAGATACCATTATGAGTGTGTGCATGTCAGCCTGTTTTTTAGAAAACCAGTCCCACTACCTCGTGAATGTCTTCCCTTCCCGTCCTTTTTAGAAATTAGCTTTTGGAAAGCCAGGACTTGATTTCCCCCATGTTTTTTAGTCTCCAAAGTGTCTTGATTGGTAATAACAAATATCACAGTAACTGTGGAAAAGTAGATCGAACGTGTGTTGGAGTCTCTACTACTTGATAACTTGCCTCCGAAAGGAAAAGATGAAAGAAAGAACAGAATCGAAGACAAACCATTTGGGACCAAGGAGGTATGGGAAAGAGCAGCTGGTGGGAACTCCAAGTCCAATCAATGGGTATTTATTAAATATCAACACACATCATCCACTTTGTTTTCCAAATCACCTTCACAACTAGTTCTTTTTATCCTCACAGAAGCAATGCCATTCTTCCATTAGTATCTCCATCACTTGAAATTTTCAGAGAGAAAATCAGTAAGATAAAAGTGTGAGAAAAACATTAACAGAAAAAGTAAGAGAGCCTTAAAAATCAGTAGGTAGTGGGGATGTGGAAGTAATTAATGGTGTTTACTTCTGCTCATTGTTAGTTGGGATTTTGAGGCAAATGAGGTTGACAGTGTGATCTCAGATTCCCAGTCGAGCACGATGGAGACGGGAGTGTGCAGGAGTCATGGACAACGCTGCCCGAAAGGCCAGGTATGTTTCAGTAGGCGAACTCTCCTCCCTAGTGACAAGTAGATGCTTCAATGTTTTTGAGAGTGACCGGGGCTAGGATCAGACCTCTTCAGGGTGGAGTTATGCCTTGATAAAGCTGGGCAACTAAATGCAATAAAATGCAGGGTGTTCCACATGGTGCATAGACCCTGCTGAAGATCAGCCCTTCGAGGTACTTATCCCTCCAGAAAGATGTAAAAACAAACACTGGTCAGGATAAAAGCTGAGCAACAATGAAGAGGCCACCCAAAAAGAAGAGTCAAAGGCATCGTGGCACTGGTAACACTGGATGTTACCAGGTGGAACGTCTCCAGGAACCACCCAGAGAACCAATCAGTTAGGACATTCTCTTTGCTCTTGCAGTACAGCTGACAGCCTTTAGAGCACTGCTGATTCAGGAAGTGGGAAATAGCACCTAGCACACCAGCCCTGTCTCAGAAAACCACACGGTAACAACTATGCCTTTGATAACTGCCTGTGGTTTGATTCAGTATTGCCAAGAGCCGCAGACCACAGTGACTTCTTGATGCTACAAACCTCCCGACTCCCACCCACTTGGAAAAACCACCCTCAGAAAAATCCTCCTTTCCAGGGGCCTGTGTTATTCGCTGTTGGGTTTTGTTTGCTGATTGGTAGTTTTCTAAGAAAGAAATGTAGGTGTGAAAAAGGAATATGAACTACCTGGTAATTTATAGATAGAATATGATTACAGCAGAATAGCTTTATTTTCTTGCCATTATTATAAATGGAAAAGATCTGGATTTATAGTGAATTACAATTATTTTACGTAGTATTGATGGCAGCCTACCTATGACTATTTATTGAACTTTTATGTTTTTTCCTAAAAGTGTTTGAAGTATTTATTCATAGTAAGACATTTACTTGGACATCTCATTTCTTTTATAATGCATCTTTTCTTCTCAAGTAGAGTAGATGTGATGTGATATATATATCACATTTATAATATATATAATACAATATATAATATAATATAGTCATGTACTGCATGATGTTTTGGTCAATGACGGACTGCATATACTATGGTGGTCCCATAAGATTAGCCCCATAGAGCCTAGGTATGTAGTGGGCTATACTACCTAGCTTTGTGTAAGTACATGCTATGATGTTCGCACAATCACGAAATCAGCTCATGATGCATTTCTCGGAGGGCATCCCTGTCTTTAGTTGACTCACGACTGTGTGTGTGTGTGTGTGCGCATGTGTGTACTCTCGTAAGTCTCAGTTTAAAGGGCCCTTTTAGTAGGAAGTCTTGCCTGACTTCTGGATTAGTTCAGTTGCCTTGTTCTGAGCTTCTAAAGAAGCTCGGTTTCCTCAATTGTGGCACTTATACCTTAATCACCTGAGACTAAAAGCTCCATGAAGAAACAGACTTTGTTTTCTTGTTCACCTCAACACCTTGGACAGTTCCTGATATGTATGAATGAATGACACTGAATGAATGAATGAATGAAAAGTGCTCAAAGGAAGATTATTTAAAAGTCACGTTGTGTCACGTTACATTTTAACTTATTCTTTTTAAAGATTGGCTTCTGAGCCAACATCTGTTGCCAGTCCGTTGTGTCTGAATTCCCCCTTTGTATAAGGATACCAGGCTTACTGGGTTAGAGCCAATCCTCATGCCCTCTTTTGTATCTTGATTACCTCTGTAAAGGCCTTCTATCTAATTAAGATTACTTTCTGAGGTCCTGGGGGTTAGGATTTCAATATATTTCTTTCAGAGGACACAGCTGAGTCTGGGACGCCCACCACACCCTCAGAGACTTGTAGGGCGGTGAGCAGGATCCGTGGGCTTGGCTGGTTGAGTGGGGAAAGCTACTGTTTCAGCCCGTGAAGCAGTTCTCCTCAACACGTTGATTGGTCCGTGTCCACTGCCAAAGGGAAACTTGCTGAAGTGTCGCCCCTGAAAGGCTCCCCTGAGAATGTTGAGGGCTGAGAAGAGGTCTTCTCTTGTACTTTGCATGATCTGAACATGAGAGAGAGCCACCATTTTGCAATATATGCAAATACCAAATCATTATGTTGTACACCTGAAACTAATGTAATGTTACATATCAATTAGACCTCAACATAAACAAAGGGGAGGGAGCCATCGATGGGTGTGTAATAAAGCCGGTGAGGTTTACATTCCTTCAGCGGAGGGGCTCACTCTCCTCAGACCCCTGCCTGCTGCCTCCACTTCCCCAAGGGGCACAATGAAGACGTGCACAAAGGGAAGGTTACGAGAAGAGACGGAGAACACCACGTGGAGGCCGAGGACTGGAGTGATGATCAACAAGCCAAGGAACGCCACCGACTGCCAGCAACCCGCAGAAGCTAACACAGGCCTGGAACAGATGCTCCCTCCCAGCCTTCAGAAGGAATCAACCCTGCCAACACCTTCATTTCAGACTTCTAGCTTCCAAAACCGTGAGATCATATTTACGTTATTTATGGCAGCCTTAGGAAACCAATGCAGTAGGTATCGTTCCTCAGAAATGAACACAATATTTAGGGAAGAGAAGAATGAATGCTTTAAGGGCTGCCAAGTCACCGAAAGTAAAGCTGAGGGGATTGATATAGGGGAAAAAATATCTGCAAAGTTGAGGAGAAGGCAATGGAAATGGGGGAAATAATGCAAACAAGTGCTTTACCCAGGCGGATGCAGTTGACGAAATATCTCACATCCTCAAAACAGAAATGTAGCTCTATGGAACGGAACTTTGCAGACACGTCGAGAATCAAGAAGTACAAGGAAAAGTTACTGACACATCTGTGTAGGACACAGTGTGCCTGTTCTCTGTGCTGGACGTGAGCTGGCACTGGTCAAGCAGTGGACAAGGTGACTGAAGTGGCTGTGTGGACATCGTTTTGGTGGCTCAACATGCAACGCAGTGATCGCCACATTCAAAAAACAGAACCAATTTTGAATGGATAATATTTATAATCAATATGAATTTTCTTTCCAGAAAAGAGTGGTCTTAATTGCATTAAAGACCACCATCTCGGACATCACAAGTTCTAGATAAAACATGCCATACTTCCGTTTCCTAAGTTCTGAGGAGCCAATAGAAAGAAAACCACCTCCACAAGGTGAAATTGTGTTAACACGAAATTCTGAGTTTCGGTGAGGGGTCAGGCCCTGCATTCCCCAGGAACCTGATGCTGAATCGTTTAAGGACAAACGCCCCAGGCGTGGTGTTTAAATGTGGCAGGCCGGCCATCTCAGCGTGACCTACAGTGAGTCAGCCTGAGTGCTCATGGACAAACCAGACACACACATAGCGAAGAGACCGGGGGAGACAGGGACCTGGTGTGACATAACTGAGAGCAAAGAAGACACACAGGAAATGTGACGGATGCATTCAGCGATGGAAATAGCTTGCTCTGTGTGCTCCATCAGCTTCGAGTGAGGACCAGCATTAAAGAGATCAGGACGTAGCTCATCACGTGGAAGAGCAGTGGAATAGCTCGAGTCTGTGATGACAGGGCATCCTGCCTTGGGGCTGGGTAGAGAGTTTTCTGGGATGAGAGGAGCTCAAACGGCAGACAGGTAACGACGTGGAAGGAACGCTGCAGAGGAGAATCAAGAGAGAGCTGCTCACGGGATTTTAAGGTCCTGGCAACCCGGCTCCTATAGCAAAGGAATTCTGAAAGATAAGGCAGAGGCATTGGATTTAATGTCTTCAGCCAGCATTTTTTTCCCAAATGCTGTGTTCTCCAATTTTATATGTAATTGACACATCTGAGAATTGATTATAGTGATTTGATTCACTTTTCTGATGTCAGCTTTTGTGTCAAATAATTATGAATTTATAACTTATAATTTAATATAATATATAATATATAATTTAATATAATATAATTTATAATTATAAAGGACCAAGAAAAAGTAAAAATGCTGTCAGAACATTACAATTATAGTGTGTGTAATTTTATAAGTAAGATCAATAAAATGATTTCACTTATTAAAATGTGTGCTACCTTAGGCTACAGTTAATTCCTAAATGTCTTTTTTTAAATCATCATAGAGGTAAACGTGTCAATGATGCCTGGTAAAATCGTACATTGAAGAAAAAAATGCAAGTGGAAAGTCATTTAAAAAATATTATGTAAATAACGAAAAGCGCTTTTAATCAAAGGATAAAAATTTACTAGATAATATTTTGTGAAAAGTACTATGCCAAGCACTAAAAAAGGCAACACATAGA